GCCACCACCCCCACCTCCGCCACCACCCCCACCGCCTCCGCCACCTCCAGCAACACCTCCCCCGCCTCCACCTCCGCCCCCCTTGCCCCCCTTGCCCCTGCGGCGCGTCCCACTAGGAGCAGACGCAGCTCCGGCCTTCTCAGCACCAAGAAGGTCAACAGCAGCAGCAGAGGCAAACGAGGGGAGCACGGGGCAGGGGGAACACCCCTCGAAGAACGGGGTGCGGGGTTCGCCACGAGAGGCACCTACTGCGTTAATGCTAGCCTCAGTTGCAAGCAGTTGTGTCTCAAGTAGGTCAACGGTGAGCTCGGTGGGGGAGAGAGCTAGGAAGTGGTCCCTGACTGGACGAAGAGAGTCAGGGAGACGAGCGACGAGGTGATAAAGGGTGAGGTACATTGGGGGGGGGTTCTTGGCTAGGAACTCGACAAGAAGGGCAGCTCGGTAGCGAGTGTCACTAGTACGGAGGTGAGTGATGAGGTCAGCGACTGTGGTAAAAGCAGCTAGATCGGGGAAAAGATAGTGCAGCGAGAGGCGACCGATCGCAGAAGTGGCAGGGGAAGAGTAGCGTGCAACTACCGCGTCGTACAGCGCCTTAGCGGTCTTATGCTGGCCAAAGTGCGCACGCTGGTCTATCGGCAGGTGGCTGCGAACGGCTAGGCGAGCGTGAGCGTCACGGGTCTGCCACTGTGAGCGAATCGAGCTGTCAGCGGTCTCAGCAGGTGTGAGGGAGGCTCCAGACGTGTGATCGAACAGTGAGATATCGTCCTTGGCTGTAATCTGTAGGAACAGGTGCAGATCGTCGAGCCAGGCATCGAACTGGATAGGGCGGCCCTCAGTATCGAACGCGAGAATAGTGGGGTTGGCCATACTGGCAGTAGCAGCAGTAGCAGTAGTAACAGTAGTAACAGTAGCAGTAGCAGTAGTAACAGCAGCAGCTGCAGTAACAGACAGTAGCAGCAGCGCAGCTCGATAGGGCAGGGCGGCGCGGCTCGGCTGGGCGGCGCGGCTCGGCTGGGGCTGCGCGTCTCGGGCAGGGCGGCGCGGTGCGAGCAGGCAGGGCGCACGCAGGCTGCTTGCGGGCTGCGCACGAGCAGCTTGCTGGCGCGCGCGGGCTGCTTGCGACTAGCGCGGGCGGCCTGCGGGCTGTGCGCGGTGCTGCACGACGGCGCGCATGCGGCTAGCGGGCTGCGCGAGCTGCTTGCGGCTAGCGCGGGCTGCTAGCGGGCTACGCGCGATGCTGCAAGGGGCCGCGCGGGCGGCTAGCGGGCTGCGCGAGCGGCTTGCGGGCTGCGCGTGTGGCGTGCGGGCTGCGCGCAAAGCTGCACGGTGCCGCGCGGGCTGCTAGCGGGCAGCGTGGGCGGCTGACGGGCGGCGCGTGGAGCTGCACGGGGCCACGCTGGGCTGCATGCGCGTCTAACGGGCGGCGCGCGATCGGCTGCAGCGCGTTGTTTAGGGTGGCGCTCGAGGGCGCGAGCAAAGCAGAGCGCACGAGGGCGCGGGCAGGACAGTGCGCACGAGGGCGCGAGGGCAGTCAGGGGCAGTCAGCAGTGACAGTGTGGTGGGCCCTAAGAAAACCGGTCCTAACGGAGGACCTGCTCTGAAACCATGTCAGAATCCAGAAACAAGAAGTGATTGCATTAGCATGAAGTTGGGTACAAGTAGTGAAACCCTAAAGTGTTGTACCCCATATTGACTACCCCACTACAGCCTAAACAAGCTATAGCATATAAGTTTGACATCGGTAACTACTTCGAATGGGCGGTGTGGGTCGGCGATGCGTAGTACGGGCGGTGAACAGAGAACATTTTCCAGGGCAGAGAAGGCAGCATGCTCTTTCTCCCCCCACGTAAAAGCGACCCCCTTCCGTGTTAAAGTTTAGAAGAAAGAAGAAGAAGAAGAGGATTGCACTAGCAAGAATGAGGATACAAATAGCAAACCCTAGAAGGGTTGTACTCGCTATAGAGCACCCCACTACAGGCTAGAGCATAAGATAACATTCTGACATTCCGCAGCAGATCCGTCAGCGGGGCTGTTAACCGCGCCATGTCGGGGACGAACCGACGCACATAATTAACGAACCCTAAAAAACTCTGCAGCTCCGTGATATTTGTCGGAGGGTGCCACGCTTTTACCGTGTCCAGCTTCTTTGGGTCGATCTCAACTCCAGCCTCCGAAATAACGTGTCCTAAAAAATCTAGCCTGTCCTGAAAAAACTCGCGCTTGGAACCCTTGGTCAGTAGGCGGTGCTCGTCTAAAACCTTAAATACTGCTTCCAGATCTGCTAAGTGTTGCTGCTTATCGCGACTGTAGACCAGGATGTCGTCGAGGTAAACGATCACACATTTATCTAGAAGTGGCCTAAACGCCTCGTTCATGGTCATCTGAAACGTCGCCGGTGCGTTGGTCAACCCGAATGGCATCACTGTGTACTCGAAAGACCCGTATCTAATTCTAAAAGCCGTCTTGGCGCAGTCCGATGGTTCGACCCTAATCTGGTGGTAACCTCCCCGTAAATCTATTTTCGAAAAGACCCGTGCTGTTCGCAGCTGATCTATCAGTTCGTCGGCGCGGGGAATGGGGTATCGTGACTTGATTGTTACCCTGTTCAGTGCTCTGTAGTCGATGCACATGCGAAACCCTCCGTCTTTTTTCGGTGTGAACAGTATCGGTGCGGCGAACGGCGATCAGCTCGGTCGGATGAACTTCTTCTCTAACAGGTAATCTAGCTGCTTCCTCAGTTCATCGAGCTCGGGCTCTGTCAGTCGAAACTGTCGCTGTACAGTTGGTTGTGCCCCCGGTTCTAATTATATTCGGTGATCATGTGCCCGCTGAGGTGGCAGTCCTTCTGGTAAATCGTCCGGAAAAATCCCCGGGTACCGTTTCAACAGTTCCTGTAGTTCGGGCGATACCGCTGCCAGCAGTTTCTGAAAATCACTCGGCTGCCCTGCTTTTCCTACCAATGCTATATCCACCGCGTACACGTCAGCTCCAGCGGCGACAGCCCGTTTCATCGTGATGGCGTTGACGTGGACCGTTGAAGACTCGGGCGACTGCCAGCGAGGTAGCTCGACCCAGTTACCGCTACTTCGCACAATGCAGCTACCCGTCGTCCAATCGATTCGCGGGTTGTACCGTCGCAGCCAGTCACGTCCCAGTAAAATGTCGTGCCCATCCAGTGTTGTCGCGAGCATTTCCTGTGTAAACCCGAAGTTCCCCCCCGCATCGGACTTTTACTCTCTCCACCTTTTCCCGTATGGCCAGCGGCATGCCGTCGACTAAGAGTGCATCTATCTCCGGTAAACACCAACTAAGTGTCAGTTGCAGCTTCCGTGCGGTTGCGGTATTAATTAAGATGTGACTTGCTCCTCCGTCTATAAAAATCTTCACTGCTGCTCCCTGTATTTTCCCGTGAATCAGTACTGGGCAATCCGTCGCTGTACCCTCCTTATTCATCCGAGCCCGATCGATAGCGTGAATCGGTACTGTGACTCGGTGAGGGTCGGTGAGGTTGGGCGAGCAGGTTGTCTCGTCAGTAGCTGGCCTGATTTCTACTGACTGCTAGCGTTTCCCTGCCTCTGAGACTCCCTCCCCTGCTCTGCGCCGCGGCGCCTCAGCTCCTCTGGGCATTCGCTTTTGCGATGGCCCGGCCTATTGCAAGCAAAGCAGCGCCCTTTAAATGGCGCGGCAGCTGCATTCGCTGCAACGGCGTGTACAGTGGCGTGCTCGGCCGGTCCCCGAGGACGTTGTCCGTAGTAGAACCCCGGTCTCGGTCGGCGTAGGATATCGATCTTCTCAGCGAGCGCGAGGATCTCGTTGAAGTTCGAGAGCCCGCGTAGCATGTTTTCGTGCGAGATGTCCGGCTTTAGCCCTCCGACGTAACGGTCCACCCGCTCTGCTTCGTGCATGTAGCCGACTTGCTCGCATAATGCGAGAAAACCGCTCGTATAATCTTGGACCGACCCGAGTTGTCGCCAAGTACGCAGTCTCTGACGCGCTGAAATAGAAGCCGCAATCGACTCGAAGCGCACCCGAAGCCCTGCGCACCACGCATCCCACGTGCTGTACTGGGCGGTTTCGCAGAAAGAACTCCAGGTGACGGCTGGACCCGTGGGCCCTCCCTCTTGCGACGGCGGTTCGTAGGCGCGTGGCGACGTCACGATGACTCGCCACCAGTCCATGACGGGGCCCTCAGCAGCGAAACAGCGTAGCGAATCTTCGCTTCGTCCGACTCGACGTAATTCGCGTCGAAGAAAACGTTCATCGTGAAGACCCACAATTGAACCGTCGGACCTCCGCGTTGGCTAGGATCGAAGCAGGGCGGGCGCTGCGGCTTGAGTGGTATTGGCGCCACGATGTCGTTGTTGCCACTCGTTGCGGCGAACTCCACGTGCCGACGGGCTTCGCGAGGCCCTTGTGTGCTTGGTGCGGCCCTGTTCCTCTCCATGTCATGTATTGATTGAGCGACGCCATCACTGGCTGCGCCTGAGCGTTGTCCCACGCTGTCGTTTTGTGTCGGTGTGCCTGATGAGATTACGATCGGCTCCTCCGATCGTGCATGTGCATTTGCCGTCGATTGCTGGCGAGCGGAGTCGCGTTCCGCCGTGAGTGCCACAATTTCGAGTGCCGAATCTTCGAGTTGGCGCACGAGACGGTCGAGCTGCTCCTGCGTCAGTGTCGCGAGATTTAATTCGGCCATGGCGGGGGCGTCAGGCAAGCTCAGCGAGAGCCTGTGTCGTGGCCGTGCGTGCTTACGAGAGAGCACTTCGAGCGGCGGTGCTTGGTCGCTGAGAGACGTCTACCACCTCCAAAAATTGAGATAGTGGGGAAGCGAAGGTGTGGGTGCGGTCCGAGAGGAGATCGTAGGCTCTGAATACCAAGTATTACGAGTGCAATTGAGCGAGTGAGCGAGAATTGCACTATCGAAGCAAAACAGTACAATGAGCGAAGTCATGAGCGAAGAATATATAGCGAAGCTAGCGTGGTAACGGTAACGCGAGAAAATGGGGTGCGCTACGGGCCTAGCGCCGAGGTTGGGAAATGTCGAGGCGGAGGTCCGGGGCGCGGGTTACCAACCGAACCGTGAGGTTGGGTCGCATCGTGAACACTGGCGGGAGTCGTCGTCGAGGCGAGTGACGCGAGCGGGTAACGTTTCACTATTGGGTGCTGATGGCGGGAATGGTCATGTACGCGGTAAGGAGGGGCGCGAAGTAAGGAAAATGAATTTTCCTTACACCAACTCGCTTGCTCCATCCCACCCGCATGATCTGAAAACTAAACGTGTTTAGCAAAATTGAGTTGCGGCAGCACCTGCTGCTGCATTCATTGCTGACTGCTGTCTTGAATCAAACGCCACTGCTGCCGACTGGTGGGTGGACTCAAGTACCACCTCTCCTCCTCCCTCTGGATATACAGCCACTGCTCTACCACTCTCTTCTCCTCTCTCTCCACTCTCTCCTCCTCTCTCTCCACTCTCTCCTCCTCTCTCTCCACTCTCTCCTCCTCTCTCTCCACTCTCTCCTCCTCCCTCTCCACTTAATTCCCCTGCCCCTCCTCCTCGCCTCGACCCAGCACGACCAATCCCAACTCCTCCTTCTTCTCTCCCGTCTCTCCCTTTGATCCCTTCTCTCCCTTCTCCCCATTCTCTCCCTTCTCTCTCATCTCTCCCATCTCTCGCCCCCTCTTCATTCCCATCTCTCCTTTCACCCATTTCTCTCACTTCTCTCCCTTCTCCCTTTTCCTTCCTTTCTCTCCCTTCTCCCCCACTCCCACCAAGCCCATCGTTCTCCTTCCCACCCCATACTCCCCCTCCTCACCCGGGGCCAGGTCGTCTCAGCACATCTAGGCCCGTGATCAGAGGCGCTGCAGCAGATAGCCCACCTGCTAGAGCAGCAGCAGGAGGAGCAGCAGCAGCAGCAGCAGAACGAGCAGCAGAGGGGGCACCTATCACTGGAAGGACTGTAAGGCCCGTCACCAGAGAGGGTGCCGCAGCAGACAGCCCACATGCTGGAACAGCCGCACCTCTCATCAACTACAGGGACCTCGCATCAACTACAGGGACCTCTCATCAACTACAAGGACCTCGTGGTGACTCAGCTGACGGCGATATACAGTCATTCTCCTTGGTCCGCTTGGCGCGCACTCCGTGATCAGGGCTGGCTCATCCATCGTCGCTAACGGCTGGGAGCGCCAAGCTCGCATCAAGCCTTGCTGGTCGCTGACGTGGTTCCAGCCCAGAGGCACCCCGTGTATACCGTGTTGTACCGCCGACTCTTCACTTGTCAGTTGGTTTTTCCTTGGGACGTGCTTCCCTGCTTGCCCAATCCACAACAAGCAGTGGATAGACGTGGTCCGACCAAACTTCAACAACTGACTACGAAGCGCATCGCCTCGGAATTTGTGAGAGCTCCCTTGAGAAAACTAGATACTCCCAAGACGGATTCACATAAACCGTATTTCCTTCGTACTCGACCCACTTCCAAGGTCCTGAATTCTAGTTTTTGTTTCCCTCCACCCACTTTCAAGGTCCGATTTCGCTCACTTCGTATTGATCAGACAAATTCGGTATCTCCGCTGCATATTAATATTTGGGTACCATCAGCGGGTAATCATCGTTTTATTGCAGACTGAATCCGTTACGATGAAGTCGTCGTGGATCAAGGCGAGAGCTGCTCTCTCGTTGCCTCTAAGCACGGGCCTTCACCGTTGGAGCAGCAGCTCCGCCTCAATCATGCCACCTCACAGCACGGCCGTTCGATTCTGCTCGCCGGCCCATCGCCCAGTCCTCAGACCAGATTCATCGTCGTGCGCACTCTCGCTCGCATCGTCGCACACCTTGTCGCACAGATCTTCGTGCAGTTTATCCTGCGATGCGTCGACGATATCCTTTTCCACCCACCGTCCATCGCTCTGCACGCGACAGCCCGTCGCACGGCCCCGATCGTCGCATGCGGTCTCGCGAGCAGGCCGCCTCGCGGCCACTCTCACCACCTCCTTCCTCCACCCCGCCGGCGCAGGCGTCGCGGTCCCCCCCCTCGCTAGCCGGCCGCCGAAACGGCAACTAACCGTTGCAAGCGGCGCCGCGAGCGCTGGCCAACCAGCTGTACCTCAGCCGCCGCACCGAGCATCAACGGATACATCTCTCGCGTCGGGCAACGGCAGCGTTTCGCAATTTTCCACGTCGATCTACGAGGAAGTGGAGGGAAGCATTTGGCAGGGAGGGAAGAAGCGGCGGGCGGCGGTCGACGTGGAGGAGGAAGTGGTGGTGGCGGGGGACGGTGCGGCGGTGGGCAGGGGGCAGCAGAGCTACGCGCAGCTGGAGCCCACCCCGATGGTGCAGGAGGCGTGGGACCTCCTCAACGCCTCCGTCGTCCATTATTACAACCAACCCGTACGCTCCTGCCCTCCTCTCACCTCCACCCCTCCTCTCACCTGCTCCTCTCGTCCCTTTTCTAATCGTCAAACTCTCTCCCATTCCTCTCTCTCCCTCTCTCTTTCCTCTCTCTCTCTCTCCCCTTCCTCTCTCTCCCTCTCCCCTTCCTCTCTCTCCCTCTCCCCTTCCTCTCTCTCCCTCTCCCCTTCCTCTCTCTCCCTCTCCCCTTGCTCTCTCTCCCTCCCCCTTTCCTCTCTCTCCCTCCCTTTCCCCTCTCTCTCTCTCCCCTTCCTCTCTCTCCCTCTCCCCTTCCTCTCTCTCCCCCCCTTTCGTCTTCCGTCTCCTTTCTCCCGTCCCCATTTCCCCTCCCTCTACCACAGGTGGGCACAGTAGCAGCAGCGGACCCCACGTCAACATCAGCACTGAACTACGACCAGGTGTTCATCCGCGACTTCATCCCCTCCGCGCTCGCCTTCATGCTGTCCGGCCACCACGAGATCGTCCGCAACTTCCTCCTCTACACACTGCAGCTGCAGGTCAGACTCTCAGTGCCATTCCTCATCTTCTCCCATGTGTGTCATTCCCACCCATCTTCTAACACTGCCCAAGCGCGTTGGAACGTCTTAAACCAAATGAGTTCTTCATTGGGGCACTGCCCTTGCTTTTGAGATGTCTCAAGTCAAATTTTGTTTCTATATTTTTCTAGGGCAATGGCCATGCTTTTTGAGACTTGTCGACACGATTCTCTCCTCTCCAAACACTGCCCGTGACCCACCAGAGCTGGGAGAAGACGGTGGACGCGCACAGGCCGGGCGAGGGGCTCATGCCGGCCAGCTTCAAGGTCACTCAGACGCCCGTGGAGGGCAACGGTGGGGGCGGGGCGGCCTACGAGGAGCACCTCGACCCCGACTTTGGCGAGTCTGCCATTGGCCGCGTGGCTCCTGTTGACTCTGGTGAGCCTGTGGCTTTCAATGCTTTAGCCAGCTTCAAGGTCACGCAGATGCTTGTTGAAGGCAGGCAGCATGGGTGGGGGCAGGGCGGCATACGAGGAGCACCTCGACCCTGACTTTGGCGAGTCCGCGATCGGCCGCGTGGCTCCTGTTGACTCTGGTAAGAAGCTGCCACTCTGGTAACATTTGGAACCACCACAGTCCTGGGGGGGAAAGGAGTGGAGGGCAGCGGTGTCAGCAGGGCGGCATACGAGGAGCACCTCGACCCTGACTTTGGCGAGTCTGCCATCGGCCGTGTGGCTCCCATTGACTCTCGTGAACGCCTGGGGCCGTGGTAATCACTTGAATGTGGTTACACCTGTTTTTCCCCCTCTCCCAACCATACGTCTGCTGGGCTCGCCCTGCGCTCCTTCCCTTGGCCCTTCGTCACATCTCCTTCCTGAGCTCGTTCTGCTACATCCATCCCGTCGTTATCCCACTCCATTCTCCCCGTCTTTTCCAACCCACCCAACCCCTCTCCCTCTTTCCCCCAGGGCTGTGGTGGATCCAGCTGCTGCAGGAATACGGGCGGTGCACGAGGGACATGTTTAAGTCGGCTCTAACTTCCCCCCTTCACCCCTCTTCCCCCGCCACCCCTCCCCCCCCAGGGCTGTGGTGGATCCAGCTGCTGCAGGCGTACGGGCGGTGCACGGGGGACGTGTCCCTGCAGCAGCGGGTGGACGTGCAGACAGGCATCAAGCTCATTCCCAAGGTCTGCCCCCTCTTTCCCCCAGGTTTATGGTGGATACATCTGTTGCAGGGATACGGGCGGTGCACGGGCGACGTGTCCCTCCAGCAGCGGGTGGAAGTGCAGACAGGCATCAAGCTACCCCTCTACCCCCCTTCCCCCCTCCAGGCCTGTGGTGGATACAGCTGTTGCAGGCATACGGGCGGTGCACAGGCGACGTGTCATTGCAGCAGCGGGTGGACGTGCAGACGGGCATCAAGCTCATTCTCAAGGTCTGCCTGGCGGATCACTTCGACATGTTCCCCACGCTCATCACCACTGATGGCTCCTGCATGATCGACAGGCGCTTGGGCATTCATGGCCACCCCTTGGAGATTCAGGTGAGCTCACTGCTCTGTGGACTTTCTCACGGCTCAGCTGGATCCACCCCAGCAGTGAGCTGCGGTGGACCCAGCTCAGCTCACAGAGCCGTCTCTCTTTCTCTTTCCCCATACTTCCTTTGAGAACCCCCTCCCCACACTTGCTTTGAAAGGTGGTCCGCCATTTCCGCTCCCCGCCTGCCGCTGCCATGCGTGCTTCCACTGCCTGCGCTCGCTCTGCTCACTGCTCACCAGCGGTGGCTTTGTTGCTCGCCATCGCTGCCACATTCCCATACACTTGCGCGCTGGCACCCTGCTCACCACCCCCCCTCCAAACCCATCTCCACCCACTCCAGTCATTGCTGTGCGGCGCCCTGCGAGCAGTGTGTGAGGTGGCTTTTGGGTCGACTGATATGTCACCTTCTCCAAAACCCACCCTCTTCCTCTCTTCCGTCCTTTCCCTTCCCACCGTGCAGTCGCTCCTATACGGCGCCCTGAGGGCAGCGCGCGACATGCTCATTTCGGAGGGCAACAGCATTGACCTCATTCGTGCATGCTCAGTGTCTTCTGTCCTTACTACCACCAGGACTACAGCTCACTGCCCCTCTACTGCCTTCAATCCCCCCTCCCCTTTCTACTCCAGTCACTGCTATACGGCGCGCTGAGAGCAGCGCGAGATATGCTAATCCCGGAGGGAGACAGCAACGACCTCATCCGAGCAGTGAACGCGCGCCTCACGGCCCTGGCCTTCCACATCCGCCGCTACTACTGGCTCGACCTGCCTGCGCTCAACACCATCTACCGCTTCAAAACCGAGGAATACTCGCACGACGCCGTCAACAAGTTCAACATCTACCCGGATCAGATCCCCCCGTGGCTCATGGATTGGATTCCGGACCGCGGAGGGTACTTTGTGGGGAATGTGCAGCCGGCGCATATGGACTTCCGGTGGTTTGCGCTGGGGAATCTGTGGGCGATTGTGAGTAGCTTGGCGTCGCACCAGCAGGCGGAGGCGATTTTGGATCTGGTGGAGGAGAAGTGGGACGAGCTGGTGGGGGGCATGCCCATGAAAATCTGCTTCCCTGCATTGGAGAATGGCGAGTGGCGGATCATTACTGGGGCTGATCCTAAAAACACGTGAGTCATCGGGGGGTGGGAGGGGGGCTAGGGAAGTGGGAGGAGCTGGTGAAGGGCATGCCCATAAAGATATGTTTTCCCGCGCTGGAGAACGGCGAGTGGCGCATTATTACCGGCGCCGACCCTAAGAACACGTGAGTCAACGGGGGGTGGGAGGTCTGGGGGGGGTTAGGGGTTAGTGGAACGAGCTGGTGGGGGGCATGCCCATGAAGATCTGCTTTCCTGCGCTGGAGAACGGCGAGTGGCGGATTATCACGGGTGCAGACCCCAAGAACACGTGAGTGCCTTAGCAGGGGATGGGGGTACCCAGCAACAAGGGTGCATGGGGTGTGGTCTGCTTTCCTGCGCTGGAGAACGGCGAGTGGCGCATTATCACGGGTGCAGACCCCAAGAACGCTTGAGTCAATGAGGGGTGGGAGGGGTGGGAAGTGTGAGGGGGGGTTAGGGAAGTGAGAGGAGGTGGTGGGCGGCATGCCGATGGAGATTTGTTTCCCGTGCTAGAGAACGGCGAGTGGCGCATTATCACTGGCTGCCATGCGGCGAATCGGTACTTGCAGTGTTTAGGGCATACTTTCTGTGCTTTGCTGTGCAATGCCACAACGGCGTGCTGCTGAACCCCTTGCTGCATGTTTATGCGTGCCTATGTCATTCTCTCCATTTCCTTCCCGACAAACCCGCCTGCCCTTCATCTGAACGCCTCCCCACTCCTACAGTGCGTGGTCGTACCACAACGGGGGGTCATGGCCGGTGCTGCTGTGGCCGCTGACAGCAGCATGCATCAAGATGGGTCGCCCCCACCTTTTAGACGCCTCAATGATTCCCCTCCCCCCCCCCCCCCCCCCCTCATCTCTTCCACAGAGCATGGTCGTACCACAACGGGGGGTCATGGCCGGTGCTGCTTTGGCCCTTGCTGCATGTTGAGGCATGCCCTCGTGCTTCTCGTTTCCTCCTTCCCTGCCCATACCCAACCCCACTCTCTGTCCCAACCCCTACCCCACCTTGCAGAGCATGGTCGTACCACAACGGGGGGTCATGGCCGGTGCTGCTGTGGCCGCTGACAGCAGCATGCATCAAGATGGGTCGCCCCCACCTGGCTCAGAGGGCTGTGGAAGTGGCTGAGAGGCGCCTGCAGGCCGACCGCTGGCCCGAGTACTATGACACCAGGTACTGTGCCGTGAGACGAGGTACTGTGCGGTGTGATGAGGTGCAGTGCAGTGACACGAGGTGATGTGCTGTGACAAAGGCTATAGCGTAAGGGTTTATATTCTCAGATAAAGGCTACAGCCTACGTTGCAACAGCGTAAGGTGCTTAACATGCCATACCACACATCCGTGCCACCTACACGCTTCACACATCCATATCCACACACCATCTTCGCCCATCCTTCCCCCCACTGCGTCCCCTTAGGCGAGGGCGGTTCATAGGCAAGCAGGCAAGGCTGCATCAGACGTGGAGCATAGCGGGGTACCTCGCAGCCAAGCTGCTGCTCGCCAACCCCCACGCCGTCTCGCTCATTGCCGCGGACGAGGACTGTGACATCATCAACGCCTCCACTACCCTCCTCGCCTCCAACCCCCGCCGCCGCCACCGCCCCAACCCACTGCCCTCGCCACTCTTTTGAAGAGGATTTTCTGGAGTGGAGGACTGTACTTATTGGAGGCACTGTGGTTACAGGAGGTCATGTTGGAGTGTACAGTTGGCATTTTTTCAGGCGTCTGCATTGCATTGGTGCTAAGCTAATTCCTTTATTTGTTCTCGTGTCATGTAGCGTAGCGTGCTTCTGTTCGGCCTTCTTGACAATGCATGTGCTGGGTGGAATGTGTGTCCTCTTGTTCTCAGTTTGTTTTTTTATGTGTGGAAGGAACCTTCTAAAGCTAATGGAGCGGAAGTAATTCCAGTATACGGTATATGATTGCCGGTTGGAATCAACGGTGTACTAAAAGGAAAAGGGACATTCCCAAGCGCATGCGATGGGAAATAGTTTACGGTTCGCACTTGGGGAATTGATGGCAGCGAATCAACAAAACGTGTGCATTGTAGGTTCCACTTCTTGACACCTAGCACCCCTCGTATCCCACAGATCAAACGGGGGTGACATCATTTTAGACACCTCATTTCGCGTCATAATCTATAAGAACGCGCCCTATATCAAATATCTGGGGAACCTATAAATCCTGTGTGATCGACTGCTTCACAGAAGACCTTCGACTCCCTCAGTCCCGCCACCACCCATCCCGAGCTCGCGAAGTCGCCTCGCCCTTCCAATCTGAGGTCGCAGGGCATTGGCCCGTCGCAGGGCAGTGGGGCTGTGTCGCAGGGGCGCGACGAAACGTCTTCAATCAGGAACTCTAGAGCCCTTCCTACAGTAATTAGGGACCGTGGAGTCCTTCCTCCAATCAGAGATAGACCTTCCTCCACACCAGACCAGGTTCGGGAGTCGAATCACCCGTGGCATCCAGCACCTGACCTAAGAGAGGCCCGTCATCATGGCGGCGTCGCGGCGGCGAACAATTTCGGTTCCACTCGCGCCAAAGCTCCAAACCAAATTTGCTTCTCGTGCTCTCAATACATTTCTACTCGGCGCTTGTGGGCATCACACCGTACACTTCCCACAGTTTTTCTCCTCATCTGGTATATCAGCAAGTACTAGCGTACAGGGTGGTAATAGTAATAGCACTAGTACCACCGCTGGGCCTCTCTTGTACTCGTAGCGCCTCCCAGTTCCCCGCGCAGCATCTGCCGCAGCTCAATGGCTGCCTCACGACGGGCCGTCACTCAAGGGCGCGGCTGCGGCGTCACGTTCTCCGCCGCGGGGCGGCTTCTCCCCGTGCTCATCCTCGCATTGCTGCTCCAGACGCCCTCCGCGTCCGCCCGCCGCTGGTTCTGGAACGACGGTCTCTTCCCCGTCGCCGCCACAGGCGAAGCGAACTCCGCCGCCGCCGCGCTCACCGCCACGGGGGCCGCCGCGCCGCCGGCGGTTCCATTCCCAACGCCAGCCCCGACGGCGCCGGCGCCGGCGGCGCCAACGTGCGACGACGCCCCTGTGGATCCCTCGATCGTGTCTGGGGCTGCGCCTGGCGATCCGTGTTCGGTGCTGGCGGTGGAGCTAATACGCGCTGCAGAGAAGCTGGGGAACAAAACTGGAGGGAAAGGGTTCGCGGCTCCTTCTCTCTTCCGCGCATGCCACTCCACATTCCTGTTCAGGTACTGTGAAACCGCGGCTTTAATTGTTGATTTCTCTATTCACGGTAATAGGATGCTCCGCCGCGCGGTAAAGGGAAGGGCAGAAAGTGATGTCATTGTGACTTTTGCGTCTTTACTTTTCAACATGTGGTTTTCAAACTCAACCTGTTTGCTGAACTAGATTATGCTGACCTGCTTCGCGACTTTACAATGGGTCGGGACGGGATCATCGCCCCTATTCGTGACCTGGCAGGAAGAACTGCGACGCGGAAGACCTGCTGTCGGTCGCGAACGCGTTCGACAATCACTACGTGTACAAGCTCATCGCCGTGGACTCGCCGGACCAGACCAACCTGCCGAGCAGCCTCGATATTGTCGCGGAGCTGTGGAAAATAGTCAAGGATGCCGCTGGGGGGAAGTACGCGCGGCTGGTGGACGCGCACATGGCGGCGTTCCGAGCGACTTTGGCGCTGAATGACGGGCACAGCATGTTCATGCCGGAATGCTTCGTTGGGAGCTACGACCTGCCGCTGCCGCTCATGGCTGTCGTCGAAAACGGGCAGCAAATCATTCGCGTTGCGCTACGCCGATGTGAGTTTTTCAGTACCTCTCAACGGTTGTGGGTTCCTTCCACTATGTGAGTGAGTGTTACCCACATTGCTGGTCATGAGTCAACGATATTCCTCTCCTCAGCACTCTGCCGCAAAGCATAGCACCGCTGAAATGCATACTCCGGTTGCACTCAGGCTCTTCCTCTTGTTTAATTATTCCCTCTGGCCATCAGTTGTCACTCCCCAAGGGATGGTTCACGTTGCGAAGGTTCTGCACGATTTTGACTTCAGCCTTTATGAGGGCCGACAGGTATGTACGTGTGGAATAAACTGATGGTATTTACCTGATTCTGCAACGTCATTCAAGCAACGTCGCCGAACTGCCGCCGCATGCACACACTTACTCCCAACTCTATCCTCGTTTGTTCATGCGATGTCCCAGGTGGTGGCTATTAAAGCCAGGATCTCAAGTAGTTCAATTGTTTTGCAGTTGGTGAGGGGAGCTGGGCTGCGATTGGTTAGCGAGGTGAACAATCTGACGAGGTGTGAAGCGAGGGGTGCGAAGTAAAGACAAATCGCAAGTTCAGTCCGAACCAAGCAAGGCTCGGAAACTGGTTCGGTGACGAAGCTCCAATGCCTGCAATTTCTCGTCACACACAACAATCTCATGTACCAGCAAAATGTTTTGCATTTCCTCTAGGGGCAAAATCGTGGGTGTGCCGCACGCTCACTTTCCTAACCAGCCAGTCAATTCGCCTACAAAAATAGGGTAACAAGCGCTGCAAGTGTTTTGCAATTGAAGGCCAATTCTCTTACTTGAGATCCTGGCTTTAACGGGGATAAAGCAGAAGATTTCATCTTGAATTGGGCAAACAAGGAAATGGGCCAGTTTCGCAATCGCGCTTCGCGGTTCACGAAGGCTTTTGCGAGGAATGAAGCGACGGGGACGCTGAAAGGGACGAAGATCGTGCAGGTGCCAGGCGACTTCGCCCGGCGATATCTGGCTCCCGAAAATGACACCATACTGGTGTCGTTCGCAACAGTGTGAGCTACAGTGCTCGATGCTCATTGGCTCTCCCTGTCACGTTTCCCTGCTTCTTCCCCGCTGTTTCCTTGCTTGGTGTTTGCATGCTGCTCATTGGCTTGCCCTGTCACGCTTCCCTGCTTCTTCCCTGCTGTTTGCGTGCTTTGTTTTTTCTTGCGGCTCATTGGCTCTCCTTGACTCTCTCCCTGCTGTCTGCTGCTGAGTTCAGCCCACCCGTCCTCCTTCACACTTCGTGTGTCCCCCTCCTCCCCCCACCCTGTTTCTGCTGCACCGCTGCAATTCTCAGGGATGGAAGCTCAACGGAGGACGTACAGGTGCCATGGATCGGGACAGCTAGCCATTCTCACTTTGAAAACGCCACGGGGTACTGGGAGAGGTATTGTGCCGTGGCGAACCCATCACCTACTGCCGGCACCAGCGCACAGGCAAGCACGGTCGGACAGGCAGCAGACATTCCAATGATGGACAGGTTTCTCGAACGCCACCCCGCTCCAGTCTACTACGGTGATACCAGCGATGGCAGCGACGGCTTGAATGTCGAGGTTTCGTCGTTTTCTGCTGCAGCAGCAGACGGCTCTTCTGGTGCAGTAGCGGGGCCGACTATAAAGAGGATCTCACCAATGACTGATAACTTTCTGGTGAGCGGGATGGGTTTAGTCGTTGGGGTGAATGTTGGAGGCCGTATGGACTCTTCTCTGCTGGGTGCCGCTGGGTGCCGCTGGGTGCTTGGGTAGTTATCTAGTTGTTATCTAGTGACGCCTGGGGCTTGCCGTTTGTGCCGGTTGGTGTGTGTCATCTAGGGACTTGTGTGTAACAGCCAATGCCTGCCATCTGATATGCTCTGATCCGATCAGATTTGGTCTGATTTGAGGCGCATGTGTGTGTGTGGGTGCGTGCAGGTGTACCTGGTGGGCAGCAGCACGGCGGTGGTGTGGATTCACTTTTGAGGCGCCTCAAAAGGATATGTGCATGTGCGCTGCACGTGTGTGTGTGTGGGGGGGCGTGCAGGTGTACCTGGTGGGCAGCAGCACGGCGGTGGTGTGGATTCACCAGTTCTTTTTCAGCGAGGCAGTGATGAAGGTGTTGTAGGCGAATAAGGTCGACCCGGAGATGTACATGGTCATGGAGGTCACCAAGGCCCTCAATACCGCTGCAGCGTCAGTACTCCTCTCCACCTCCTCTTACTCCTCTCCACCTCCCCCTACTCCTCTCCACCTCCCCCTACTCCTCTCCACCTCCTCCTCTCCACCTCCCCCTACTTCTCTCCACCTCCCCCCTCTATTACTCCTCTCCCATCCCCTTCCTTCCTTCTACTACCCCCTTAGTTGCTTTAGGCAGCGCGTCTTGTTATATAAAGATAACACCCAGCCCCCCTACCTTCCCCACTCCATGTCTCATGCTGGTACCCTGCTCTCAATTCATTTTTCACCTGCCTTGTTATCCTCATCACTTTCCCACCCTTCTGCTACTTGCCCTTTTCCCCATGCCTGTTTCCATGTCCCTTCCCTTGAATCCCCCATGTGTTCCCCCACGCTTCCTCCCATGTGTTACCCCATGCATCTCCCCATGTGTTACCCCATGCATCTCCCCATGTGTTACCCCATGCCTCTCCCCATGTGTTACCCCATGCCTCTCCCCATGTGTTACCCCATGCCTCTCCCCATGTGTTACCCCATGCCTCTCCCCATGTGTTACCCCATGCCTCTCCCCATGTGTTACCCCATGCCTCTCCCCATGTGTTACCCCATGCCTCTCCCCATGTGTTACCCCATGCCTCTCCCCATGTGTGCCTGCATGCGTCATCCCATGCTCCCCCTCCCCTTTTCAGATATCCAGCGCCTCTCAGATCATCATCACATACGTGCGTGGCAACGGTGGCGGTTCCGTTGCAGCAACGCTCATGTGTCCCCCCATTTGTCCCCCCATGTGCCCCCCCACGTGTCCCCCCATGTGGCCCCCCACGTGTCCCCCCACGTGTCCCCCCATGTGGCCCCCCACGTGTCCCCCCATGTGTCCCCCCATGTGTCTCCCTATGTGTCCCCCCATGTGTCCCCCCATGTGTCTCCCTATGTGTCCCCCCATGTGTCCCCCCATGTGTCTCCCTATGTGTCCCCCCATGTGTCCCCATTCCCGCATGTCTTTCCGTGCCTCCCCCCACACTCCCCCCCATGCCTCCTCCCCCTATGCCCTCCCACCAGATCCAACGCCACTCGGATCATCATAGACGTGCGCGGCAACGGGGGCGGGTACACGGCAGCGGGGTACACAGCCATCCGGCTGCTCATGGGGGCAGCCAAGGCCCCCGACTCCGCCTTCACCCTGCCAGTGGACTTCATCATCATACTCGGCGCCGTTCAAGTTGAATAAGCAGTTTACCGGGAAGCAGGAGCAGCCGGTGTTTGGGGATCGCCCCTTCCTGGTCCTGTCGGATGGGAATTGCTTTTCCGCCTGTGCTATTCTCACGCACGTCTTGGGGAAACGCCACAAAGTACCCATGGTAACCGTGGGTGGTTTGCCCAACGAGCCTCCGGCCGTGAGCTCCTCATGCCTCGGGTTTACCGAGCCTAACATCTATTCAATGTCACCAGGCCTCAGCAATCTCGCTGCCTTGGTGCCACAGAATGCGTCGTTGCCTCTCAAGGTGAAAGGGGCGGTTGGCATGGCGCTTACCAATGGGTATGTGGATTCGAAGATTCCGTGCGAGTTTGTATTTCTGCCCAGCCAGCATCACATCAACTACACTGTTGATCTGATTGGCAAGCCCTGGGCCATGTGGAGTGAGGTGGCCAAGCTCTTTGACTCCGGTGCAGTTTAGGTTATGTGTCGTGTTGACACCAAGATCAGGTGCCCTAACAATTGACATCACAGCAGCTTAGTTCATTCATCAGGTGCCCTGACAGTTGACTGACAACACAGCAGCCTGGCTCATGCCTTCTCGTGTGTGGTATTGGCTGAAAATGAGGCTCACAAAGTCTTCTCTTGGGCTGGTGGTCGTGCCTTTGGTGGTTATGTGGATGGATGGGTGCTGAAGGTTTTCAGTCTTTCACGGTGTGTGTTTGTTATGGAGATAGGGGTGATTTGTTATGTCGAGGAGTGTGATTCACTTTTCCTGGTTTCCTTACTAAAATAGATGTTATGGCAGAGACGAGAAATTTATAAGGTAACATGACTAGATTGACACAAATGTACAAAATAATATCGAGTACACATTCTCCAGGATTTTTTTGCCACACCAGCAGATCCTTCCACAGATGTTAGGTTATGCTGATGTGGCTTCTTGTTGTGATGTCAAATTGTTTACCACCACGTCACGGCACGTCCATCGTACTCGCCTTTGAAATCAAGCGGGTTGATAAGCCGTTTAGCTGTCATTCCGACAGTCAGCTGTCAGGATGAGAATCAACGCTCGAGATTGCAAGTATCCATTCAATGGTCCTCCTCAGCTGACAGGTGCGCTGCGCCCCCGCATTTCCAAGCCCTCCAACACTCCCGCTTCCCTGCTCATCTGTTCATACTTTCCCCATTCCCTAGACTCCCCATATTCCCTCCCCCATTCCCCGTTTCCCCTTAGATTTCCCCCAGCTCCGCAAATCTCGCGATTGGAGTCCCCGAAGTTCCTGCTGGCTCTTTCAGCCCCGTCGTCCCTATTATTATTTCTCACACAAGCAGCCTCATTTTCGACACCCGACTAGGTTTGGAGGCGCTTGCGCTGCGCTTTCTCACTTTGACTTGAGATGAGAGACGGACGCGTCGGCCACCTCGTGCGACTCGATTCTGCGTTGCGCTGGATTGAGTATCCGCGACGTCGCCGAATGGAAGGAGCACGCACACGCACCGCTCTGCTTGAGCCAGCTGCTGTGCCAGCTGAGTCAAGGCAACGAGACTCGCCATTGCGCCAACTATTTAACACCTCCTGCGAAACGCTTAATATCATCCCGTTCCATACAGCGCCAAAAAGCTCCTTCTATCACCTAGCAGCCCAACACTCTCTGACCTGCATAGTTTGAGCGATATGGCCATCCGCGTTACAAGCATCCTCATAGCGGTTCTCTGCCTTGCCACAGCTGCCTCCAGCTCCTCCATTCCTCGAAACTTCACCGCTTTTCACCGTGACGGACCGCGTCGCGCTCTCCTGCAGATCCCCGCGTTCGACCCCGCTGCAGCCCTGGGCGCAGCAGTAGGAGCCATGGCCGGCGCCGTCCAATCAGCAGCCGCCACGTTGGCCAGCACCATCGCACAAGCTCCTGGCGGGCTCCTATTCGACGACGCGTCGAAAATCTGCCTCGATTTCGGCCCTCTCCCCGCCTGCGACTTCTATTTCGATCTGCTCGGTCCGCTCGGGCTGCCCTCGCTGCGCTTCCCCGTCGTCTCCGGCGGCGCGCTCGTGCTCTCCCAGCAGAACGGCGATCGCCCCATGAGCCTCGCCATCGCCACCGGCGTTTCGCCTGACGCTGGCGAATTCCTTGGCGATAAGAAGGCGAAGAAGGGTGGTTACCAGGTGGAGATTGATGCGACGGGCCCGGCGAAGTACTGCAAGTGTGAGGCGGCGAAGCTGGCGAAAACAGTGGCGCATGCTGGCGATCAGTTCTACGCCACTGGACAGGTGAGTACTCTCTCTTCTCCACCCCTTTCACCCCTCCACTCTCCCTCTTCAACCCCCCACCACCCTCCCCCTTCCCTCTCGCTTGCTCCTTTGCAAACCACTCCCAACTCCCCTCCTCCCCCCCCCACGCGCCCCCCTTTCCCTCCTTCCCCACCCATAAGTTTTCATTCCTTCCCACCACCACTGCTACCTTATGAATCCTACCTCCCTTTACCCCCAGTCACCTCCTCCCCGATCCCCCTTACTTCCGCCATCCATCCCTCTCGCCCTACCACCCCTGCTTTTCTTGCAGTTTCCCTTACGCCAAGAAACGAAGCTTTCTGGCTGAGAACATTCCAGGAAAAATACAGAATCCAAATAGTCACGCTCGCAACACGACCGATTATCCGTTTTGACACACAACAGAAATGGTGTACCCCGGGGGTATAGTACCCTGGGGGCATACTCAAATGGTGTCTCTCAAATGCACCCACGCACCATCCCCTTTCCCCCCCACCCCCCCTCTTCCCCGCAGCCGGCCAAGGTGTATGCGCGCACGTTTCAGAAGAACCTGCCAGCGTCGGCCTTCAAGGGGTGCTGTGTGCGCCTGCCACTCACCAGCGTGCAGCTCAAGGCACCCAATGGTGACGTCATCAACCTCAACAAGGGTGACGGCAACAAGCAGTTCCCTGAGCCCCGCCGCTGCCTTCTCTTCCACGTGCTCACTGTGTGATGGTGGTAGAGGATCAGCATTGTTTAGTTTCATTCCCTAGTGTGGAGTGGCAGCACAGAGTAGAGAGCAGATGGGAAAAAAAAAAAGCTACCGTAATATTACCTAGGAGTAGTTCTTCTCATTCACAAAGCTAGGCACTGTATTATCATTGTAATGCTTGTTTAACCATAGCACCTGTCTTTCCTCCACTATAGAGCTTAATCAGTCTCATTACCGTATGAGATCTAGCAGCACCTGTGGACCATTTTATGGAGATTTGACAGTATGATTATTCACTGTGATTTCAAGAAGTGACATTGCCTGACTCACAACCCACAAAGCACCACTGGGTGAATGGATCCTTTGATTTGAACTAGTGTTTGTGTACTGTATCGGAACATATCAAAACCACTGTCATGTTAAAGCAGCTGCTGCTTCGTCCCTGAGTGTAGCTCGTAACACTTCATCTAGTCTCATGCACCCAGCAATACCCAGCTCCACCGCTTCATTGACTCGTTTGACCGACATGTTCCCGGTGACATTGCAGAGCACCACCTCGTTCAGCGATGGCATCAGCGCCACCACCACCCGCCCCTCCTCCACCCGCTCCTCCTGAGAGCTGGGATCCAATAGCAGGTCGCCACGACAGATGCTCTGATTTGATTTGGGAAAGGAGAGCCCAAGAAGTGCGGGAAGATTTGGATGGTGCACGGGAGGGGGAAGAATGGTGAGTGGTGCATGAGGGATAGGTGAGGGTTTCCAGTTGGAAATAAAGCAAAGACGGGCGAGACTAGACACAAGATGCTGTGCTTCTGGTTGCCTAACATCCTGGTGTGTGTGTGTGTGTGAGGGAGGAGATAGATGCAACCAGGGCAGTCAACAGTGTGTGGGCGCATGGCAGCAGTGAGTGCAACCATGATGACACATGGCATGTGCCGAGCTGGAGTGGCATGCTTGCAGGGAGCTGAGCAGTCAAAACGAGCTCACCTGCAGAGATCATGACCGCAACTGGATCTAATGAACGATAAACCCTTAACACCTTAACACTCCAACACACTCACCACTACAGATGCGGTAACCAGGTCGTTGAGGTGCACGCCTGCATCTGCCAGCGCCAAGGATGCTGCTGTGATCATCACCGCCACGTCCGCTGGTGGTGGGGGTTGGGAGGGTGGAGTGCAATGGGGGTGCAGTGCCATGAGCCACCACATGCTAGCAGAATAAGGGGTAGTGAGAGGCGTTGAGGTGCACGCCTGCATCTGCCAGCGCCAAGGATGCTGCTGTGATCATCACCGCCACGTCCGCTGGTGGTGGGGGTTGGGAGGGTGGAGTGCAATGGGGGTGCAGTGCCATGAGCCACCACATGCTAGCAGAATAAGGGGTAGTGAGAGGCGTTGAGGTGCACGCCTGCATCTGCCAGCGCCAAGGATGCTGCTGTGATCATCACCGCCACGTCCGCTGGTGGTGGGGGTTGGGAGGGTGGAGTGCAATGGGGGTGCAGTGCCATGAGCCACCACATGCTAGCAGAATAAGGGGTAGTGAGAGGCGTTGAGGTGCACGCCTGCATCTGCCAGCGCCAAGGATGCTGCTGTGATCATCACCGCCACGTCCGCTGGTGGTGGGGGTTGGGAGGGTGGAGTGCAATGGGGGTGCAGTGCCATGAGCCACCACATGCTAGCAGAATAAGGGGTAGTGAGAGGCGTTGAGGTGCACGCCTGCATCTGCCAGCGCCAAGGATGCTGCTGTGATCATCACCGCCACGTCCGCTGGTGGTGGGGGTTGGGAGGGTGGAGTGCAATGGGGGTGCAGTGCCATGAGCCACCACATGCTAGCAGAATAAGGGGTAGTGAGAGGCGTTGAGGTGCACGCCTGCATCTGCCAGCGCCAAGGATGCTGCTGTGATCATCACCGCCACGTCCGCTGGTGGTGGGGGTTGGGAGGGTGGAGTGCAATGGGGGTGCAGTGCCATGAGCCACCACATGCTAGCAGAATAAGGGGTAGTGAGAGGCGTTGAGGTGCACGCCTGCATCTGCCAGCGCCAAGGACGCTGCTGTGATCATCACTGCCACGTCAGCTGGTGGTGGCACGGGGCGGACAGGCGGATGGGTGGAAGAGAGCAATCAGTGGGAAGTAAGGAACAGGCGGAGAAGAAGGGATTGAATGGGAACGGGATGCCAGGGCCGGAAAAGAAAGCGTACTAGTAGCTCCGTCTCCATTCAACAGCACGGCCTCACCTCCACCGACCTCCAGCAGCAGCAGGGAGATGTCAAGGGTGCAGCTGAAACCTGTTACCACCTGGTTACCACCTGGTTCACCTGGTGTGCTGTGAGCGTGTGTGCTCTCACCTCCACCCGACTCCAGCAGCAGCAGCGAGATATCAAGAGTGGCCTTGGGGAAGAGGTGCAGCTGAATGGCCGGCAGCAGCGCAGTCTCCACCTCGCTTGCTAGCCGCTCCTCTGCTCCCTGCACGCACCATGGTTCATGGGTTATGGTTGGCAGCAATGCCTTAGAGTCATGAGTCATGGGCAATGGGTGAAAAATGGGTGGCTGCATTTGCTTAGAGTCATGAATCATGGGTAATGGGTGATAAATCACGGCTTACGGAACAATTGCATGGTGGCAGCAATGTTTTGCAGTCATTAGTCATGGGTGATGGGTGAAGGGTTGTGGGACATGGTGCATGGTGGCAGCAATGCCTTGAGCCATGGCCCATGCCTCATGACGACTAATTACCTGCGTGCTGCTGTTCCGATTTGGAGTGGCGAAGGGTGCTATTCTGACGTCGCACTTGAGCCGCCCCTTCCCCCCCACTGACTGCTCTGCCTTGCGACTTTCCCGCGGCCCAAAGCTGGACATGGGGCAAGGAGGGGAGAGGCGGGGGGAGTAGTGGAGAAGAGCGAGAGGAAGGAATAAAAAACCAGAAATGAGAGATGTCAGTGCGGACAAGGAGATGGCATGTAGAATGTCAAGAAGGCCAATAGTGTATGTGACAGGTTGTACTTTTGCAGCAAATTTTGAGCATGTGGAGCGGAAGGTGCATCTGGGGACCTCTCACAAGAGCTCCTCCACACAACGCCTTGAGCTGCTCATGCACCACCTTCTCATGCACCACCTGGCTATTGACCTTCTTTTGGAGAAACAGCGCACACCAACAGGACCCAGCCGCCTTACGCATGAGCAGACTCGCCGCGAAGCAGCAAAACGTTGCCAAAAGTGGTGTTCGAACAGACAGCGAATCCAACCACCCACGGAACAGAGCATTTACGCCAGATTACTACATCCGCACTCACACGGCCACTATCACTTTGGTGCCGCCAAACTCCGCATAAGCTGACCCCGACGCCTGTGTGACCGTCTTTGCCTTGAGGACTGCCAGGGGCGCATGGCGGGGGGGAAGTGGGAAAAGAGGCGGGCAGTGCGGTTTGATGGGAGAAGGGGCAGGCGGCGGTGGGGGAAATGGGAAAAGGGAAGGCAGGGAGGGTAGTGGGGTTGGCGGGAGGGCAATGTGAGGGGGCGGTGAGATGAGGAGCGATAGGAAGAGAGAGCGAGGTGAAGAGAGAGAAGAAAGGAAGGAAGGTGGACGTTGTGAGGTGCTAGTATCATGCCGTGTGCGAGGAGGTGACCCGTTGCGTACCTCAGTGATGCGAAGGCTGGGTGGGAGGTGAGGAGAGGAGAGCATGGGACGGACAGAGTGGAGGAGGGTGCAGGAAGGGAATGATGTGAGGGAGAAGAAAACAAGTGATAGAGATGTGGGGTTGAGTGGGGGGAGTGAGTGGGGTGAGGGAGTGAGTGGGGGTAGGGGAGTGAGTGGGGGTAGGGGAGTGAGTGGGGGTAGGGGAGTGAGTGGGGGTAGGGGATTGAGTGGGGGTAGGGGAGTGAGTGGGGGTAGGGGAGTGAGTGGGGGGTAGGGAATTGAGTGAGGGTAGGGGAGTGAGTGGGGACAGGGGAGTGAGTGGGGACAGGGGAGTGAGTGGGGACAGGGGAGTGAGTGGGGACAGGGGAGTGAGTGGGGACAGGGGAGTGAGTGGGGACAGGGGAGTGAGCGGGACAGGGGATAGGGGAGAGAGTAGGCACAGGGGGTTAGTGGAGTGAGTGGGGAGGAGATAGGGGTCACGCGCACTCACAAGCGGCGCGGCTCTCCTCCAGCGACCGGCCGTCTGCGCGAAGCCCGTCGTCGCCGATCACGCGCGCCAGCGATCCCGCCGCGCCCCGCCGCTTCAACGGCGGGTACGACAGTACTGCGGCGCGCCGCTGCTGCGCCAGCGCCATTGCTGGGGGGGGGCGCTGACTCTGTCAGAGGCGAGGCGCGCCCTCTAGGCGTGGCGATCGAAAACTGCGAAACGGGCGCTTTGGCGATTCGGCGCTGTAACTTTCCTTGACGCAAGCTAAACCGGTGATAATGGGACTCTACGGATGGACTAATCACGATAGTGGTTGAAGGGCGATGGTCACGATAGTGATATTCCAACTTGTCAGAGTTGCGTCGCTGGGTGGATGCTCAATAAAGCATATCGAACCCCTCAGGAAGGAGTATAAAAAGACGAATGTAGGACATATAACCTGAAAATGTCAGCATTCACTCCAGATAGTTTTCTTGCATACTAAAATGGTAAAATATTGGACAATTGGGTGAAAATCATGCGATTGTTCTGCTTTGGTAGGAAGGTTCTTAGCTAGCAGAAGGCACACGCAATAAGAGCTTGAAGAAAAGATATTTGGGAGGAAGCACAGCAGTACAATAATCACATCCGCAAGTAAACAACATATGCATAGCTAATAAAGGGCATGATCTAATCCAGCACACTAATACTTGCTCAAATGGAGCACCACATCCGTTACATACAGTTCAGCTAGACCTCTCAGCTGAAGTTTTCAGAAACCACTCTTGCCTGCACACCCCAACCTAAGCAAACAAGCTCTTGGCCTGCTCCTTGGCCTCCGCATCACTCTCCCCACCACTGAACGCCCCTCCGTGCTCCGCCTTAAACGTAAGCCGCGTCGTCGGCACCCCACCAGCACCCCCCACCACAATCTCGGTATCCACCACCACCACATCATCCTCCCCGAAATCCCCCCTCAGAATGCCCTTGGCCAGCTCATTCTCCACCTCGTGCTGGATCACCCGCTTCACCGGGCGAGCACCGTACGCCGGGTCGTACCCGAGGTGGCCCAGGTGGTCGACGGCGGCGTCGGTGACCTGCAGGCGGATCTTGCGGTCCTTGAGGCGCTGCTGCACGCGCGCCAGCTGCAGGCGCACGATGCGCGTGATCTGAGCGGGGTCCAGTGACTGGAAGACGATGAAGTCGTCGATGCGGTTCATGAACTCAGGGCGGAAGATGGAACGCGCTGAATCCATCACCCGCTCCTTCATCACCTGTGGAGTTGGTTGGGAGAGGGAAGAAGAAGAGGCAAGAGGTTGAATGAGATAAGTGAAGGATAGTGCGTGGGGAGTGGCAGACGATGAAGTGATCGATGTGGTTCATGAACTCGGTGCGGAAGATGGCGCGTGCTGACTCCATCACACGCTCCTTCATCACCTGCCAGGGGGAAGAGAGGAGGAAGATGGCAAGAGTTGAATGAGGGGGAAGATAGTGCGTGTGGAATGAAGTCTTTTTGAGACGTCTCAAAAACACCCTCTCTACACAGGAAGATAGTGCTTGTGGAATGAAGTGGTCGATGAGATTCATGAACTCGGGGTGGAAGATGGTCCGCGCAAATTCCATCACACGCTCCTTCATCACCTGTGGGTGGGTGGGTGGGTGCAGATGGAGCAAGAGGAGGCAAATATTGAGTTGAATGAGAAAAGGGAGGATAGTGCATGGTGACTGGAAGACGATGAAGTCATCAATTGTCAAATCGCGTTCATCAAGTGTAAGACACTCGGCAGAACACGGCTCATGCCGACTCCATTACGCGCTCCTTCATAACCTGTGGGGGGTTTGGGATGAAGGAGAGACAAATGGAGCAAGCAGCACTGACTCCACACAGGAACGGCCTCTACACGAAAGCATCCACAAGGCCACAAATGTAGGGGAGCACACTTACCTGGTACTGCACGTCCTTGTCTGCTGTCTGGTGGTCGAGAGCCTGCAGGATGTACTGCGAGCCAACATTGGACGTCATGATGATCACCGTGTTGCGGAACGACACCGTGCGGCCCTGGCTGTCCGTCACCCTCCCGTCGTCCAGAATCTGACCGCACAGCAGGTGTGTGGAGAAGAGTGGACGGCGTGAGGAAGGTGAGAAGACACGCGAGGAACCGGAGTGAGCGGGTTAAGTGGGGACAATAGAAGTCAAGGAGCAATTCATGTGCGTGTCAGCAGAACGTGCAGAGTGAACGAGAACAGACTCGCATGGAGGCATGGCAGCACGCAACTGAGGCAGAGCAGGGAAGATCACAAGCGAGGCATGGCAGAGCAGAAAAGCGGGACAGGTGACGCACCTGCAGGAAGACGTTGAAGACGTCGCCATGCGCCTTCTCCACCTCGTCAAACAGCACCACGGAGTACGGCCGCCGCCGCACCGCCTCTGTCAGCTGCCCGCCCTCCTCATACCCCACGTAGCCGGGCGGGGCTCCGATGAGGCGCGACACAGAGTGCTTCTCCATGTACTCGCTCATGTCTATCCGCACCAGTGCCTCGTCGCTGTCGAAGAGGAAGGCTGCCAGGGACTTGGCCAGCTCGGTTTTGCCCACACCTGGGGGAGACATAAGGGGAAGAGAGGGGTAAGGAGGGGAGGGAAGAGAGGGGGGGTGGGTGATGAGGCGCGACACGGAGTGCTTCTCCATGTGCTCGCTCATGTCTATGCGCACCAACGCCTCGTCACTATCGAAGAGGAATGCCGCGAGAGATTTGGCCAGCTCCGTCTTGCCCACACCTGCGAGGGGGAGGGCGAGGGATGAATAGAAGGGGAGGATATGGGGAGGGGGTGGGGAAGAGAAGGGGAGAGGCGAGGTGAGGCACGAGTAAAAATAAATGCTCGTTTAAGTGCTTCTTGTCGTGGATGAAAGGCTCACTCACCAGTGGGTCCCATGAACATGAAGCTCGCGATGGGCCGGTTGGGATCCGACAACCCAGCGCGCGACCGCTGAATGGCCTCCGCCACAGCAGTGACGGCCGTCTCCTGGCCGATGAGCCTCTTGTGCAGCTCATCATCCAGCTTCAGCAGCTTCTCCCGCTCCGACTCCTGCAACTTATCCACCGGGATGCCCGTCCACTTGGCCACCACCTCCGCGATATCGCTGCTCGTGACCTCCTCGCGCAGCATGGACTTGCCCGACTGCTGGTACTCGTTCAGGGCCGCCACGGCATCAGAGAGCTGCTTCTCGAGGGAGATGAGGTTGCCGTACTTGAGCTCCGCCGCGCGGTTGAGGTCGTAGTCTCGCTCCGCCTGCCCGATCTCCACGTTCACGCGGTCCACCTCCTCCTTGATGCTCTGGATGCGCGACATCACCGATTTCTCGCGCTCCCATTGTTCCGTGAGTTCAGCCTGGCGGGATTTGAGGACCTTGAGCTCGGTCTCCAGCCGCTCGTAGCGCTCCCGGGACAGCCTGAGAGAGAGGGGGGTTTGGCGGAGGGGATGGTGGGGAAAGCAGCAGTACAGATTGCCGTTTGAGTCAATGTGGGGGCTTAAGAATGACGCCGTATTCGTGCTCCGCCTGCCCGATCTCCACGTTCACGCGGTCCACCTCTTCTTTGATGCTCTGGATGCGCGACATCACGCTCTTCTCGCGCTCCCATTGTTCGGTGAGTTCGGCCTGACGGGATTTGAGAACCTTGAGCTCGGTCTCCAGCCGCTCGTACCGCTCCTGGGACAGCCTGAGGGGAGGAGTGGGAGGGGATGGGTGGGAGGGAGTGTGTGGGAACGCAGCAGTACAGACTTGTTCGGCCTGGCGGGATTTGAGGACCTTCAGCTCGTTCTCCAGCCGCTCATACCGCTTCCGGGAGAGCCTGGAGGGGAGGAGAGGGGGAGGGGGGTGTGTGGGAGGGGAGGGGGAGGGGGAACAGTGGGACAGGTTGATGGGTGAAGTGGAGGTTGGAGTGGAGTGTGGTAGCATCGAAGTGGGCGGCGTCGACCAACACAGCGACAGTCAAAAGAAACAGCACGTTGAGAAGAAGAGTGAACAAGGTAAAAAAAAAGCCCAACAGAGTCAAGGGGGTCAACAGGGTCAAGAGTCAACAGAGTCAAGAGGGTGAAGCAGGCAGGCAGGCAGGGCACCTGTCGGTGTCGTTCCCGAGGGAGAGGCGTTCCATCTCGAGCTTGAGCACGGAACGGTCCACCTCGTCCAGCGCCGTGGGCTTGCTGGTGATCTCCATCTTTATCTTCGCTGCTGCCTCGTCCACCAGGTCGATGGCTGCATGCGTGAGCAGAACAGGGGGTCAGGGAATGGGAACGGGGAGAACTGGGAGTGTTGTTAGCTACTGGCGTCGATGCCACTATTCCAGCGCAGTGGGCTTGCTTGTGATCTCCATCTTTATCTTCGCCGCTGCCTCGTCCACCAGGTCGATGGCTGCATGCGTGATGGATGGGGGAGAAGGGAGGAGGTGTAAGGAGGGGGGGAATGGAGGAGGTGTAAGGAAACACGAAAACACCTTTTGTCACTCGTAGCGAAGGAGGAATATCGAAACAGCACGCACCAGTGAGGGAGAGGAGAGAACCAGTAAGAACCGTGACCTGGAAAGAAGCCAACGGCATGTCCAACCCAATCAACCCTAAATGTTTCGAGTCAGGTTTAGCAGTTGCAAACACACAACGCCACACCCACTCTCCGCCCGCTGTACCCTTTCCCTTTCAAAACAGCAGCCCGTCCCACCTTTATCCGGCAGAAACCGATCCGAGATATAGCGATCCGACAGGGACGCCACCGCCACGAGCGCATTGTCACTAATCCTAACCCCGTGGTGCAGCTCGTAGCGCTCCCTCAGCCCACTCAAGATGCTGATTGTATCGGTAACAGAGGGCTTACCCCCACGTACACCTGCGGAGGCACCGCATACTGAAACCAGCACCTTCCACGCGCACCTTTATCCGGCAGGAAGCGGTCGGAGATGTAACGATCCGACAGCGTAGCCGCGGCCACGAGCGCGTTGTCACTGATGCGCACCCCGTGGTGCAACTCGTAGCGCTCCCTCAGCCCGCGCAGGATGCTGACGGTGTCCGGCACAGTCGGCTGCCCCACGTACACCTGCTGGAAGCGGCGCTCCAAGGCGGGGTCCTTCTCTATGTGCTTGCGGTACTCGTCCAGCGTCGTGGCTCCGATGCACCTCAGCTCGCCGCGACCCAGCATGGGCTTTAACAGGTTGCCCGCGTCCATTGCGCCCTCGCTCGCTCCTGGGAGGTGGGGAGGGGAAGGGGGGGAGCGAGAGGGGAAGAGGGGGAGGGGAGGAGGGGAGCGGGAGCGCAGGGGAGGGAGAAGAGGAAGGGAAAAGAAGGACAGGGTGAATGGAAGGGCAGGTGGTGCGCTCCAGGGCGGGATCCTTCTCTATGTGCTTGCGGTACTCGTCCAGCGTCGTGGCTCCGATGCAGCGCAGCTCGCCGCGACCCAGCATGGGCTTTAAGAGATTGCCTGCGTCCATGGCTCCCTCGCTCGCTCCTGGGAGGGAAGGGGGATGGGAGAAAGTGAGGGGATGAGAGGAGGAAAGGGAGGTGAGAACGGGTGAGGAGGGAGGCAAAGAGGGAGAGGTGAAGAGGGGGAGGTGAGGCCAACAGCTGTTACCAGCACTGTCAATCTCCTTGGAGACGCGCGAGAAAGCAAAGCCTGTGATGCGCAAGCGTGCGAGGTTCCATTGATCTCGTCGTCAATGAAGAGCACGATGCCCGCTCACAGCTCCCTCTCAACCAAGGACTCATTCTCTATCACCCGCGCCACTCACCAGCGCCAACAACGGTGTGGATCTCATCAATGAAGAGCACGATGCCACTCACCACTCCCTCACAACCATCTACTCATGTCACCAGCGCCACTCACCGGCACCAACAACAGTATGGATCTCATCAATGAAGAGCACGATGCCGCCGTTGCTGTCCGTCACCTCCTTCAGCACCGCCTTCAGCCGGTCCTCAAATTCGCCCCGGAACTTGGCTCCCGCTATCAGCGCGCCCATGTCCAGCGAGATCAGCTGCACAGGGGGTGGCGCGCAGGGAGGGGGGCGCGGAAGTGGAGAGGGGGAGGGGGGGCGGGCGGGGTTCATGGGTAAGAAAGGAACTTGGCTCCCGCTATCAGCGCGCCCATGTCCAGCGATATCAGCTGCACGCCGTCCACGCAAGCCAAAAAAGGTGGACCAAAGGGTGGGGAGGAAAGCAACAAGGAAGAAGAAAGAGGATTCAGGGGGAGTAGCAGGGGCGTAGGGGTTAGACAGTGACGAAGAGACGTGGCGGGTGTCATAAGGTGTTGGTGTGTGAAGGTGAAGGTGAGGTGAAGATGAAGGTGCGGGCTGAAAGAAGGAAGGGGATAAGGAGGATCGGAAGGATGGGAGATGGTGGTGGAGAGAGCAAGGCAGGATGGGTGGCAGCAGTGAGGCTACACAGCACACGGGGAACGGCGGTAAAAAGAGCTGACAACCCCACAGGCTAGGCAGCCGAGAGGCTAGGCAGCCGAAAGGCTAGGCAGCTGGGAAGCATCCAATAAAGTGCATGCATGCATGCAGGCGGGCGGGCAGGAGCAGTGGTGGCTCACCTTGCGGTTGATGAGCGCCTCTGGCACGTCGCCCTGCACTATGCGCTGCGCCAACCTGCCCACAGAGAAAGGGCGGCGGACAGGGCCGTGGGTGAGAGAGAGAGAGAGAGAGAGAGCGCGATGCAGGAGGTGAGTGCGTGCGAGTGAGGCAGTGGACTAGAGAGGGTGCGAGTGGGGTGACCACACAAGACAGATCACACGTGGCAGCAAGTCCGTTCAATGAGCTCATGGTGGGAGCGGCGGCACGAAGAGGAATGGCAGCAGCGTGACGAGTCGGCTCCCAACCCCTCACACACATACCACGCCACCCACGCCACTCACCCTTCAGAAATAGCAGTCTTGCCCACGCCAGGCTCGCCGATGAGCACGGGGTTGTTCTTGGTGCGGCGCGAGAGGATCTGGATGGCGCGGCGGATCTCATCATCTCGCCCCACCACCGGGTCCAGCTTGCCCTGCCGAGCCATCTCCGTCAGATCCCGCCCGTACCGCTCCAACGCCTCGTACTTGTTCTCCGGCTCTGCAGGGGAGCCCGGGACAGGAGGAGAAGGGGGATGAGGGGGACAGGGAGCGGGGAAGGGGAGGGTGAGCAGGGTGTGCAAGGAGAAGTCCTATGGACAGGCTCAGAAGGACCTCTGTTAAAGTCCACCCTGAAGTGCAGTGCGGTTTGGTGCAGTGGAGCCACTAGCGCTGATCGGCGCAGAGCAGTGCGGTGCGGTGCGGTGCAGTCACTCACGCTGGTCAGTGACCTTCTGCGACCCGCGCACTTCAGCGACGGCCTTCTCCAGCGCCGCCTGCGACAGCCCAGCGTCGCGCAGCGCCTTCTCGCCGAAGCGGCGGTCGCCGGTGAACGCGAGCAGCAGGTGCTCGATGGACACGAACTCGTCGCCCATGCTCGCCTTGAAGCCGCGCGCGCGCTCTATCAGCGCCTCCAGATCGCGCCCCAGCATCTGACTCGAGTCGCCCGACACCTTGGGTTGGCGCGCGATGTAGCGGTCGGTGGCGGAGAGCAGCTCCGTGCCGTCGCTGCCGGCCTTGGCGAGGATGCGGCGCGCGAGGCCGTTGCGCTGCTGCAGCAGCGCCTTCATGAGGTGCTCCGTCTCCACGATCTGCTGACGGCTCTCCTTCGCCACCTCCGGCGACGCGATTATCACCTGCCACGCCGCCTCCGTGAACTCGCCCTGGCTGATCTGCGCGCGCCACGTGTGGGGGAACAAGGAGGAAAGGGGGGAAGAGAAGCAGTGGGATGGGGAGGGAGACGTCAGCATGTGTGGGGAGAGTGACGAGGGGCGGATGGAGGAAGGTGCGCATCGAACAGCGCGTCGCAACTCAACTCTGTAGAACCAAATGAAGGAGGAAATCATTAAATGGTAAACGAAGGGACAAACTGGAAAAACACACGTCACATGCGAGAGCAGGAGTGACGGAATAAAGGCAGGCGGTCTCCCAGAGCGTGCGTAACCCTGATCTTCCCAAACACCCCCTAAACTCTTCTCATGGTATTACCCTGCCTCCGCTGGCGGCAGCACGGCACGGTGCAGAGCGGTGGAAGCGCCGCCGAGGCGCCACTCCTGGCGAGTGTGCTAGGGCTGGCGACAGGGGTCGCCCACTGAAGTGTCGCAGCTGCGAGTTGACGAAATCCGACGACAACTGAGTAGAGGAGCCCGACGACGCTGCGCGAACGCCATGCGACGCAGACGGCGACACGTGGCAGCGTGTCAGTAGCTGCGGGCCGACGCGGGAGAGAGATGTAAGAGTCGCGACGGGAGTGCGGCGAGGATGCGGGCGAAGCGCAGCTGCCGGCGCCACCTGCCGTGTGGCGGCGAGACGAGCGGCGACGGTGTCCATGACGCGAGGCACACTGCGGTTGGCAAGTCGCACGAAAGTGGCTGCGCACATGAATGGAAAGACTATGGAAACTTTGTATGGGAAGGCAAACTTGTTGTAGCCGAGAAGCTAGGGAGCAGATTTGTTGGCGGGAGAGGCAAAATTGGAATCGAGCAGTTTGTCAAAGAACGCAGATCTGACGTGGGAAGGCGAAATATATAGTGCTCACGAAATGCGGGAGGGATGAAGTAACAGAGAGAATTCGGTTCGCTCGCTTGCGCCTCACGCATTACTGCGCGCGCCCGCGTAGGAAACAGGCGGACGGGAAAGGCGGGCGGAGCACAGCGGAGCAAGACACGTGCCACGTGTTGCATAATCCATCCACGTGGAGACTGGAGAGTTCGACATTCTCGTAGATCCTTCGCACCACCTACGCAACTGTACCCTGGTTCCTCAGTGAAAATGACGGTTCCCAACCGCTTTCCGCCTGCTCAACTTTGCGGTTTTGGAATTTCAAACTACCGTCTGCCATCCAGAGCCGATGGGAACATCGACCTCATCCTGCTCTGGTCCTCGACACAAACGGTAAGTTTCTGCCTTCTGTTCACCCTCACGTGTCTATGCTGTGGTTTTGACAGGTCGGAGTTTTCGCCAATATGGGAACCCCTGCACACCCCGCCATCTTCTGTTACGCATCCATCTGCTCGGCCAGCAACGAATGCTACACTCAAGGTAAGCTGTCGATTGGACGAATCAAGACGTTTTCTATGGCAGGTTAACACTAAGCAGTTTCCAACGTGGCTCCTCTTCAACGACGGGATTCATGCACCACGTAACTTTACCACTTCGGACTCACAAGGCCAGATCATCCCCCTTTCATCCAAGCGGGCGGAACCCCACCTTCCGGTCCTCCAGCAACATGCATGGGCCCCTCGTCGTCACAGGCGTGCAGAACAGTCTCTGTGGAACATCTCACGCCCACACAAGGAATACCAGCATTGTTGTAGAGGCGTCTCCTCTACTTTGCAGGAACTCTAAGTTGCACTAAACGATAGAGCACAGTCTTGGCTTTCCAACAAGCCGTCAAACACGTTAATCGCCCAAGTATACGCCGAGATATTGGCGTTCACGTGATTGCTAGTGCTCTTAGAAGCAAGGATAGACCTCTCTGGAATTTTGGTTCGAATGGACCATGTACAAGAAGATTCAGGATTTCAGTATAAAGCATGCATACAAGGCAGGTCGATTTATAGCAAATGCATTACATCGAACCGCACATGTAACATCACATCGCTACACTCGCGTCGCGAATGCGCCGCGTGTAACATTTCGGTTGGGGTGAAATTCGACCACCGAATTTCACACCGAACACACCGAATTCGCCTTGCACTTGAAGGTTGGAATGTGGTGCCGCCACGTGGCACCGAAGGGTGAGTCTCCCGAAGTCAATCGGTGCCATTCCACCGATCCCTAGTCAAAGGGATCGAAGGCACCGAAGTGCCCTCGGTGGGTTGGGGGCATACCACCGCCCCACCACCGTTTCCTTCCAACACTCCCCCTTGCACCCAAGCCACTAGGTGTTCATACCAACACGCTCACGGCATGCACGGAATGAATCCTTAGGGAGTGGTTTAGTGGGGAAATCCGCGGGTTGCGCCTTGGTGCTTATGTATGTGACCTTGACCTCACCTCTCTCGACCACCTCACGAATGAAGTGATGCTTCACCTCAATGTGCTTGGTACGCCCGTGAAGGACGGCATTGTGAGTGAGGTTTATGGCCGCTTGGTTGTCACAAAAGAGAGGAGTTGGGTCAGCTTGAGGATGCCCAAGCTCCGCTAGAAGGCGCCGTAGCCATATTGCCTCCATGGCTCCTTGAGTGAGTGTCATATACTCCGCTTCCGTTGTGCTTAGAGCCACGGTTGGTTGCAACTTGCTTTGCCAACTCACGGCTCCCCCAAGCAAGGTGAAGACGTACCCGCCGGTACTCTTGCGCTTGCTTTGATCACCGGCATAATCCGAGTCGGTGTAGCCCTTAAGCACGATTGGACCGGCTTCATATACGATTCCCAAGTTGGGTGTGCCTTGGAGGTAGCGTAGAACACGTCCTCCCGCACGCACATGCTCGGTATGAGGGTTGCTTACGGCTCGTCCAAGTACCCCGGCGGCGTATGAGAGGTCGGGACGGGTGGAAACGGCGGCATACATGAGTGAGCCGACTAGCGAATGAAACCGCTTCCCTTCGGCTTCGTCGAGGGCGGATTCTTCCTCTCCCGGGAGGCAAGAAAATCCCGTGTCTAGTGGCGTCCCCACCGGGTTGCTATTACCCATGCCGAAGCGCTCCACAACCCCTTTCACATATTTTTCTTGGTGGAGGTGAATGGTCCCGTTCACGCGGTCGCGGTCGACGTGCATCCCGAGGTAGTACGTCACCGGTCCCAAGTCCCTCATGGCAAACTCCGCCCCTAGCCGTTGCTTGACCTCTCGAATGAGGTCTTTGGAGTCGGAGAAAAGAAGGAGGTCATCGACGTAGAGCAAAAGCACCAATTGCTTCTCCCCCTCCTTCAACACGTACAAAGCGCTATCACACACGCTACGCGCGAAGCCGTGTTGAAGAAGAAAGTCGTCGATGCGCTTGTACCATCCGCGTGGGCTTTGCTTCAAGCCATAGAGGGTACGCTTGAGCTTCCACACCCGACCGCTACCGTCATCGTACCCCGGGGGTTGCCGCATGTAGACTTCTTCCATGAGAAGTCCGTAGAGGAAGGCGGTGCAAACGTCCAATTGTTCCACCTCGAGGTTGAGAGATGCCGCTAGCGCGAGCAACACCCGAAGAGTGGAGGCCTTCGAAACGGGAGCGAAGGTCTCACTATAGTGCTCCCCCTCCCGTTGAGTGTACCCTTGCGCCACAAGCCGCGCCTTGTAGCGTTCGACACCTCCATCGGCTCCCAATTTCTTCCTAAGCACCCACTTGCATCCCACCAAGTAGGCACCCTTCGGCGGGTCGACGAGCTCGAAAACATCGTTCTCCTTGATCGATGCTAACTCCCTCTCCATCGCTTGCTTCCATAGTGGTGCATCCGGGGAAGCCAAAGCCTCCTTGTGAGTGCGTGGGTTATCGTCGCCGATGGTCGCTAGGCAAATCGCCGCACTCTCCTCATCCGACTCCCCAACGGCGACCGTAGCATAGTCGGTTAACCTCGTGTTGGGGCGAGGTGTACGACGCCCGCGAGTCAACGCCAATGGTAGGGAAGAAGGTGCGGAGGAAGTGGCCTCCTCGGTTGGTGGCACCTCCTCGACATCATCATCGCACTCCTCGTTCTCTCCCCCTCCACTTTCGGCTCCCTTCTTCACGTGCGGTGAAACCTCCACCGCTTCATCCTCCTCTCGTGCGGGAAGGACGACGGTGAGTTGCGGCGTTTGTTTCTCCTTTGTCGGGAACTTGTCTTCGTCGAAGATCACATCCCGAGACGTGACGACGCGTTTTTCATCCAAATCCCACACTCGCCATGCACGCTCGTTCGCCGCAATCCCCAAGTAGATCGCCGCACGAGCTTTCGGTTGCAACTTGTGGCGAAGTGGATCCGGTACATGGTAGTAGCAAAGGCACCCAAAGGTGCGTAGGCGGTATAGGTTCGGCTTCGTTCCGGTCCATGCTTCGAACGGAGTCGTTCCCGGTAGCACCTTTGTTGGCACACGATTACGAATCCATGCCGCTAGCGCACTCGCCTCTCCCCACCACTCGTTCCCAAGCTTGGAGTGTTGAAGAAGTGAACGAACGGCCTCCATCAATGTGCGATTGAGCCGCTCTACCGCTCCATTTTGTTGGGGTGTGTAGGGTGTCGTGACGTCGTGCTTAATGCCCTTGCTTTTCATCAATTTTTCAAGCTCGTTGCTCACGAATTCGCCGCCACCGTCGGTGCGAATGCACTTGATCCGCTTCTTGCCGTCGTCGCAAACGTCGAGCGCCCACTCTTGAATCGCCTTGGCCGCATCTCCCTTAGCCTTCAAGAGTCGGGTCCAACTCATCCGCGTCGCGTCGTCGAGCATCACTAAGAGGAACCGCGCTCCTCCCTTTGATGCATGCCGCATCGGTCCACACACGTCCATGTGAACAAGCGCAAGCGGGTCCTTTGCGAGGGGTGAGGTACGGCTACCAAATGGCTTGCGAGCCATTTTTCCTTCGACACACGCCGCGCACACGCCCTTCTCGTCGTTGCCGGCGATCACGTCAAATCCCTTCGCAAGTCCTTTGTTGGCCAACTCTTTGACCGAGTCGTAGTTGGCGTGCGCAAGCCGATTATGCCACATTTTGAGAGTCGCCTTGGAGCCTTGCGCCACGTTGGATGAGGCCGTTGTCGGATGCGTCTTGAGTTGGTAGAGTTGTCCGTTGAGAACGCCTTGCGCGAATTGCTTCCCCTTCCAAAAGAGGTTCATCTTCGCGCCATCGATGGTGACCTTCACGTCTTTCTTTGCGAGTTGAGTGACGGAGAGTAGATTCACCTTCAATCCCGGGACGTGAAGCACGTTCGTGATGTCCACCGGCCCGCCATCGACGATGAGACGCGTACTCCCAACTCCAACCACCGGTAGCGATTTATCGTTCCCGAAGACGACGCGCTTGACGTCTCCCGGAGCACCGACGTTGTTGAGGAGCGACGCCGAGTGCGTCATGTGTTGTGTTGCACCGGTGTCGAGGAACCACGCGTCGTTTGAAGTGTTGATCCCGTCACCGGCCAACAAAACGAGCGACTCCGTTGAATCATCCGCCTCGCCGGATGCCGTGTGCGCGTTGCCTCTTGGTTCCGCGCCTTCGATGGAATCCAATCGCTCGGCCGCTTCCGACATTCACGCCAAAAGTGTCCCGCTTTGCGACAATAATGACACTTGCTCGAACCGTTCGATGCGTTGCCCTTGCCGCGACCGTTTCCACCGGACGACTTCTTTGCCTCACCGTTGCTCCACTTGGACTTCTTTCCGGAGCTCCCTCCGGAGAACATGGCGGTCTCCACGCTCTCGTTAGCGAATTGTCGGCGTCGCGATTCTTCATGGAGAAGCCGACCGACCACCATTTCCTTCGTCCAAGTGTTTTGCACACTATCGAGTGTCGTAATCACCGTCGACCACTCTTCCGGAAGGCCGCAAAGCAAGGTGAGAATCCAATCCTCCTCCGTGACCGTTCCACCGAGGTCCATGAACGTTTCCCCGAGTTCCTCCACACGAGTCGCATACTCGTGCATCGATTCGCCCGCGCGTAACTTCACCGTGTAGAACGCATTTCGGGCTAGGATCTTGCCGTGGAGAGTCTTGTTCACGTGCATCGTCTCGAGCCGCTTCCATGCTTCACACGCCGAAGCTTCGAGCTTGATGCACGTGCGCACCGAACTCACGAGGTTGATGCCGATGCGCGAAATCAACGTTGCGAACGCCTTTTGGTCCTTCTTCTTCCATGCCGCGATCTCGTCCTCGTTGACCGGCTTTTTCTCCGTTCCGTCGAAGAGACCCCAAAGCCCCCGCTCCATCATGAGCACTTGGAACTTAAATTTCCACGCGGAGTAGTTTTGTCCCGTGAAAATCGGAACCGCCGACGTGTCGAACACCGTCGCGTTTGTCCAGGGTTCGCCGGGATTCGAGACGACACCACCTAAGGAAGTGCCGGAGGTTTCGCTTGACGTCATCATGCTTGCTACAAGTCGCGCACGTAGACTCTACCGACCAGCTCTGATACCACTGTTGTAGAGGCGTCTCCTCTACTTTGCAGGAACTCTAAGTTGCACTAAACGATAGAGCACAGTCTTGGCTTTCCAACAAGCCGTCAAACACGTTAATCGCCCAAGTATACGCCGAGATATTGGCGTTCACGTGATTGCTAGTGCTCTTAGAAGCAAGGATAGACCTCTCTGGAATTTTGGTTCGAATGGACCATGTACAAGAAGATTCAGGATTTCAGTATAAAGCATGCATACAAGGCAGGTCGATTTATAGCAAATGCATTACATCGAACCGCACATGTAACATCACATCGCTACACTCGCGTCGCGAATGCGCCGCGTGTAACATTTCGGTTGGGGTGAAATTCGACCACCGAATTTCACACCGAACACACCGAATTCGCCTTGCACTTGAAGGTTGGAATGTGGTGCCGCCACGTGGCACCGAAGGGTGAGTCTCCCGAAGTCAATCGGTGCCATTCCACCGATCCCTAGTCAAAGGGATCGAAGGCACCGAAGTGCCCTCGGTGGGTTGGGGGCATACCACCGCCCCACCACCGTTTCCTTCCAACAAGCATGAGACTCTCCTCTGGCCAAGCCCGAAGAGGAAGGCAAACGCCCGTCACGCCATGGCGAGTTTGCCTGAACTACAATATGGCGACACGTGCTGGCGCCAGGAAGCTCCGCCTGCGTCAGCTCCCTCTCAATGGATGAGCGCCATGTCTCCCGCACTGACTGGTTTGCTCGAGTGTGACGTCAGTGTATGGCGGTTCGGCTGCATGATGTGCCTTCCAAGCCGCATTTTTCGGTCTTGCCTCAATGTCTTGCCATTTGGCATCGAACGCTTGTTCTCCCTCGAGAAACAACGTTCTCCCTTCGGGGAAGTAGTTTGCTTGGGTGTCGCTCCCAGCATAACCGCGCACCGCGTATTCTGTGCTCCTCTGGATCCGTTCACCCACGCCGCGACGCGGCTGCTCGCGCCTGATCTTTCCTATTTCTACCCCCCCTCGACTTCCCCTTTCTTCGTCGCTCCCGTCATGGCCACCACTCAGGGCTTTGACGCAGTAATGGCCGACAACGGAGTCACCGTTCCCTCCGTGAGCGACCTCTTGCCGGACGAGGGACAATCGATGCCGCAGGCCAAGAAGATTTGCACGGGGGAAACCTCGTCGTCTGCGCGACCTGCTCCTGCTCCTGTCATGGACCCGGTGGCTGACCCTGAAGCGGCCCCGGACTTCACCCTCAACGGTCTGGAGTCCAGCGCGGCGCCAACACAGGTGCTGGCTGGCCCCCTCCAGCGGCTGCGCCGCAATCGCGACGTGGTCGGAGAGATTGTACATAACCTGGTACGAGACACCCTCACTTTGGTCACCATCATCTTTCCGGATAGCCTAGCTGATGTGCACCGCAACAAGATCAGCAGTCGTGTTCGCGCTGGTTTGCGTCCTGCCTTCTTCCCGCACTCTAACCGTGTACCTACGTTCGAGTCCTCCCCTGGTGAAGTCCTCCGACTCCCCCGTCGAGCGTACGCGAAGCTGGTGTTCCAGCTCCCCACACGGGATGACGCCAGGGGCTTCCGCCGAGCATTCCCGATGACCTTCAACTACAACGGTGGTTCTGTCGAGCTGAAGCTCTACGACGATCCTGAGCCGGCTTTCACGGCGGCCAAAGCCCGGGGTGAAACTCACCTGGTCATCCGCAACATCCCCTTCGGGTACTCCGTGAGCGCGATTCGCCAGCTGCTCACGACGAGCAGCACGCACGATGCGCGGAAGTGGCTGTCCGACATCCGCGTTTTCCACAAAACGACCGACCCGTACGAGGAGATCTCGCAGCCCCAGATGATGGGGCTTCCTGTCGCGGAGCCTGACGATCCTTGCTTCGAAAATATCCCCGCGGTACTCTGGCTTGAGGACGCTCAGCTGCCGATGATCATCAACCTGTCATGTCACTCGTGTGACATTTGCACGAGCAACCACAGGACGCGTGACCATCAGTGGTTTGCGGCGACGCGCCGCAGGAATCTCCCCAACCGTTACACCATCACAATCGGGCAACTGCAGAACGTCACGGGTACGCATCTGGTTGTCCCTGCCTTACGCCGCGCTTCTGTGTCACCATCATGTTTTGCTGTTCACTGCATGCTCTGGTTCGGTTCAGATCACGCACAATACACGCTGTCTGCTTCCGTGCCACACTACCGTTCTGCCACTTACCTTGCTGTTCTGTGCCACCGTTCTGGCAATGTTCCGAGCCTTCCCGTCCCTGATTTGGTTCTTCCCCCCAGCCTCCCTAGGTCATACGCTATGGTTGGCGGCGGTAGGACCCTGTCTGCCAAATCCCCTTCTCTCCCCTTCTCCCCTGTGCGGTATGCCCTGCCCTGCTTGCTAACCAGCCAAGCTGCTCGGACAAACGCTGGTGCCTCTGGCTGTCAAAGCCGACCCCGGGATCCTGTACATCGGTTCCGAGGACGATGTCGAACTGTGGACTTGTGCGATATGCGACTTCGAGTGCGGGCCTGCCCTCGACAGTGCCTTTGCGCACATCCGCTCCCCTGGCCACGGGCTTCGGCTCATGCAGACGGAGACTCAGACCACTGCCCTGGAGACCTGGGGCCCCATCAAGGCGCACGATTTGAGGCAGCGCGAAGAGACCACAACTGCTTGTGTGCTGTTCAGTACGTTGCAACACGCCGTCTGAGCCCGGCGCTGGCTCTGTTAGGATTGCTGGTGATGGCCATGTGCTGGCTGTATCATGCCCTTAACAAAATCTGTTTTGGCCTTGATGAACCTTCCCCTTATAAGGACATCTGGTGCAATAGCCGTCCTGTTCTCCTATGGCAACACTTCCCTTACACGAAACCCCAGGCTCTTTATTGCTCCTGGTTAATCTGTTACTTCACTACCTTTCTGGCATACCCTTCGAACCTCGGATGGACGCACTTACTGTTCTCAATGCCCCCGTGGATGTGTGCATCTAGGTGCACAGGGGGCCTAAAAGTGTTTCCATGTTAGTCCCAATCACCATCTCCTGCCTCAATATCAATGGGCTTAACTCTCTGCTTAAGATGGATGAGTTACGAGCCTCATTTGTTAGAATGCCTGATATCTTAGTTCTCATTGATACACGACTTACCAAAAATTTCTCTAAACTCATACGTAAATTTCGGCCCAAAGCTTATGCCCAAACACCGCCAACGGTCACCAACGGCACCGCTGACCCAGGAGGCATAGCGCTTCTGATTTTTCACCCCGCCATCTCCATCCTTGACCGTTCATCTTCCGACGACGGTCGGTTTCTCATGACTCATATTCGTTTATTCCATGAACAGTTTCGCTGTTTCTGCGTGTACGGCCCTAACTACCAGCCTGCGCGTAGGCGTTGGTGGGAAACCAAGCTTGACTCCGCACTTGACATTGCCTCTGCCACACAAGCAACAATGGTCATGGGTGATTTCAATGTTGTTACCGCGCCCATTGACAGAAACCGTGAACTTCGCACCACAGAAATCCGAGAAGGAGCATTACTCACCTCTATCATAGACAAACACGACCTCGCTGACGCCTTCCGTGTTCGTCACCCCGACACGGCGGAATTCACTTTTGAATCCTCATGCTCTGGCGGCACGACGGCAGACCCGCCCTCTTCCCGCTTGGACAGAATCTACTTGTCCAACGCTTTGACCCCTCGACTTCTTGCAGCTTCACACCAACCTGTGGCCCACACAGTCTCTGATCACTCGCGCTATCCGGAAATCCTGCTTGGCTTTACTAATCCGAACTGTGCCCCACGTGCCTGGAGGCTACCTCATGCACTCATACACAGACCCTTCGTGCAGAAACTCACCAGAGAAGCCTGCCAACACCTCCCACCCATGCTACGTCCTTCGGAGTGGGATCCATGGAAGAAAAGGCTCTGCCTCTTCCTGCGCCAACACTCCCGGGAAGAACGCCTTCGTGTCCAACACACGCTCACCCATCTGCAAAACGAAATCTGCCACCTTCAACTCACCTTGGCACGTGCTCCACGAGACGACGACGCGCGCGCAAAGCTTGACCAAACGTCCAAACAGTTCGACAAATACATTGCCAGCAGAGCCGCCGACATAGCTCTCAAGGCCAAACTCAAGGTCGAGGGCGCTAAGGAGATGGGGCTACCCTCCCTTCTAAGCGGCCTCACGTCACGTATTAAGGCTGCTCTCATTCCTCACCTCACTCTTCCGACCGGCGAACAAATACAAGACCTACACTCCATGTCCGCACACTGCACCAGTTTCTACACCACCCTGTACAGTGGCCAGGACAAGACCTCCCCTTCCCCCAATTTTTGGAACCATATCTACCCTTCCTCCCTCCCACAACCTCTGACTTCACGGTTAGCGGCGCCTATCTCGCTCCAAGAAGTCAAACGAGCCTTGAAGAGTCTCTCGCGTGGTAAAACTCCAGGACCTGACGGCCTTGCAGGAGATTTTTTCCGTGCACACTCTGAGCTCCTGGCTCCTGCGCTCCACCGGCTCTTTACCGCCATTGATCAAACGCTGACAATGCCACCCTCAATGCTCCACGGGCATACTGTTCTCATACCCAAACGCGCTGACTCAGCATTCGTCGAAAACCTTCGACCTATTACCTTAATGAACTCGGATTACAAAGTGCTCGCACTTTGCCTTGCCCAGAGGCTGCAGTTAACACTGCGCAGGCTCATTCACCCTGCTCAGTCGGCGTTCATCAAAGGCCGCCGCATCGGTGACACCATCAATGACACGCTCGACCTCATCGAATGGGCCGAAACAAGACAACTCCCCCTTGCGCTTGTTACTGTCGACATTAAGAAAACGTATGACATGGTAGATCGCGACTTTCTCTACACATGCCTTTCCCACCTCGGGCTACCTCAGGCTTTCGTCTCTTGGGTCAAGCTGCTTCATTCTGGCACCAGCACGCAAGTCCTTGTTAACAACCTGGCGGGCCCCTCTTTCCCCGTGCTCACCGGCGTGCGGCAAGGCTGCCCCCTGGCGCCTCTCCTTTTCATCTGCGTCATCGAGGTACTTCACCGACACCTCTCGATCGCCCTCCCTGGCTTCGCCCTCTCACCTACGCAGCGCCGGCTCGCGGCATGCTATGTCGACGACATGTCACTCTTTCTGAACTCAGGCAACGAGGTACAGACGGCAATTCGTCTCCTCCAAGACTTTGCGGAGGTCTCAGGCGAATACCCTGGCTGGTCTAAGTGCTCGCTTTCGCTCTTCCATGTTCCCCCCGATGATGTTCCCTCCGCGTGCCCCATTCCTGTACGACAACCACACGTTGCCGAGCGCATTTTGGGAATTTATATCCAATCCGACGCCCGAGGAGCCACCACCTGGGACAAAATTACGGGGAGAATCCAAACCACAGCTGCAAACCTTGCCAAGATCCATGCCACTGTCACCTGCCGGTCCGCCTTGAGCTCCGAGCGCCTCGTCCCCCTATTCGCCTTCGGCGGGCGTTTTCAGCCACCCCCCGAGGGGATCACAAAACAAATTGACATCACAGTTGGGAACCTCTTGTCCACCTCCAAATACCGCGCGCAAGGCCGTGGGACGCGGCTCGTCCCCAAAGACTACCTATACAACAAACGCCGTCATGGGGGAGTCGGGGCAATTGAGCCTTCCAAGTATCTGCAGGCGCTTGATGTGCAACGCGCTGCAAGACGGTTCCTCCCAACTCCCATGGAAGAAATCGCCAGGTCCTGCTGTTCTTTACCGTACGGATTGCACTGCTTCCTAGCACATAAAGACATCCTCAAATTCCTACCTGACAGCACGCCGGCGCGCGCAGTGGCAGAACTCACTGCTACCCTGAAGCTCCCAACGGCGGTTCACCCTCCAAGGCTCGAACCATGGGTGCTCATGGCCGAACCCCTCGCTTTCAACCGCGAGATTGTGCGGCCTCATAAACGCCCCTTCGGACGCATCAAAGGCGAGAAATTCCTACTCACCAAGGAACTGCGCCTAGGTGACATCCTCGCTCCCACGCCTGCAGGATCGCGTAAACTCCAAGAGGACGAAATCAAAGCCAAGTTCCCACCAAAAGAATTCCCCGGCGCGCTCAGGGTCATCCTGGACATTTATCACGCGGTTCCCAAGGCTTGGTGGCCCGTCCTCGACGCCTTCTCACCACCTCCTAACTATCTAGGGGCTGGGGAGTGGGCCATTCGGGCTTCCCACAGACACGGGGCGTCACAGGTGCTACAGACGAAGGCGGTCTTCTCCAACAACACGGCGCGTTTCAACTGCTTTTACGTCAACAACATGAGGATTGCCGAGCACCCTTCAGGAACCTGCATCCTCCCTATCAACGAGGTCATCCCTGTTTTCGTTCGCAACGGCTGGTTGGCGGGCACCTTCTGCTCTGGTGCTGGCCTGGGCAGCAGGCTTGAATTTCTGCACCACTGTTCGTCCCTAGCATCCATTCGGAACCTCCTCTACACCAGGAAGACACTGACGCATGTTGATCGGTGGAATGAGCTCCTGCCGACAGCACTCGAGTCCCTTCCGTCACTTACACATCCCTTCCTCACCGAACAACCAAGCCGACAAAAGGACGTGCTGTATCGGCTCTACATCCGTTCGCTACCATGCGGGACAAGGGTACCTTTTACCCCACTCGGGCGGAACTGTGCGCGATGTAACGACGGGACGCCTGAGACACTCACTCACATCTTTAACGACTGCGGGAACGCCCCCGCGGTCATCACGACTCTTCAGCATTCCGCCCGCGAGCACCTCGGCATCACGCTTCCGGCTGAGCTTGCGCTCTTTCCGCCGCCCACTCCCGCCGGCCAGGTCGCGCCCTGGAGCCTACTCGTGGGGGCAGCTGCTAAAGTTCTATGGAACGAACGATGTGACGCGGTGCACCACCAGATTGAGGTCCCCGAGCCGCAAACGCTTCACACGGTACTCGCCGCCTTCCTTCTGGCGTGCAAAATTTTCTTCATACGACGGTCCAAGGCCTCGGCGAAAAAGCAGAAGAAAAGCGCATCGAGATTCAGGCTAGGTATCAAACGACGCCTACTACAGTTTGACACGGCGGGCATTCCATCGCTCCACCCTGATTTACGCAAGTCATGGTTTCGACGCGAAAATTTTCATCCTCCATAAAGAGGCCCTCTCTACATACGGAGGTGTTGGACCAGTGTAGTTTATACTGCACTTGCTTGCTGGCAGGGCAAGAATGCGCCGTCTGGCGCAAGCCTTTTAGGTTTGAGGTTACTCACTCTTGTTCCAACACTGTATGCATGGGTTACGACCTATCAATAAAACTTAAAAAACTTAAAAAATCTCGTAGATCCTTCGCGAAGGCGGCGTTGTTGCGAATGAAGATGGTAGAAATAGGTTTTATGAGCTCTAACGAGTGCTCCGATTTGACAACTTTGACTTTGCCTACATATGCTAAACGTTTTTTAGAATGAATTATACACAAAAGTGCAAAAAAAACAAATGTCATCACTGGAGCATAGGGACAAGGGGTGAAAGTGCCTTTCCCTGAGAGGGACATTGAGGGTAAATTTAGACCGTCCTAGATTGATCCAAATTAATGCAAACCTGCCCAACAACTTTTAATAATTTATTATTGTTTTCCTTTATGCAACCCAGCAGGAAATGTTTTTCCTCCGTCCGCCTTCGAAGCTTATCCCCTTTCCTGGAAGCCCGCAACATC